TCCACAATTTCCCAGGGAATTTCCTAGGAAATATTCTTTGCATAGTGTATTCCATCAAGGGTAGAATGCTGAGGTGGGTGTTAGGAGACCTGGTTTCTAATCTAAGCCACGACATTAAGTCATCATATAATATTGGATAGTGCACTTATTCTGTGGGATAGTTTCCTTATCTATAATGTGGATGTCCTGAAGATGGACATTTTATTCTAAGAAAACATTGAATGGCTAGGGGATCAACATATTTTTATATGCTGATGGGGAGAAGGTGGTATTTGTGGTTGTGGTAAAACAAAAGCATACACTGTCAGGATGATATGATCATGGTCATCATCATTATCTACCCTTATTCTCAGGAAGCAAAAAACAAAAAGGGCTCTCAATGTGATTTCATATCAGTAGAAGTTTCTCTTATAAGTAGTTATTGGATTCCTAAGCTAAAATTCATCTTGTCAAATGAAATTAGTAAAATTAAAGTTGCAGGAATTTATAAAAACTGGCTGCCTTTCTGGTTCTAATTTTGTAGATCTTTGTGTTAGGTAAACACAGGTATTCTCAGATTCTGATGGAGCACAGAAATTGTAAAAATAACATAAAATCATAAAAATCATTTCTATTTCTTACTCCCCCAAACTAGCTTTTGTTCAAATAAATAATTATCTTTCTTACTTCACTCTGACTTTCTATGAGGACAAAGGAAGTCAGACAGAAAGGATAATTTTCCCAAATGCCTAGAAGATAAATGTTTCTGTAAAAGTAGATGGCAAAAAAGAAGTTAAGAGTTTTGCTTCATTGATTTTCTCCTGCTCTGCTTTTCTGTCTGCAGCGAGACACATGAAAATATTAGTATTTTATAATATATTGCATCTGTAAAGTTCTGTATATTCAGAAAATATACTGAATAGGTAGTTGAGGAATGTGACCATTTTATTTCCCTGATATCTTTTAGACATTAAATTTTGTAAGATCAGTTACAATCCATGTTTATCAATTTGTAGCTCAGGAAAAGATGTCATTTGGAATTCAGCAGGAAAATCAGTTGTTTGGATCAACAGAGCATAAAAAAAAATCTGTCTTCTATTTTGTTTATTTCTTTAATATATACTTGTACTTTGTAATGGCCCAGACTAACAACTTCTGGATTTGAATCCTAAGGCCATGCCCATATAAATAAATTGAGTGCTGAATATGTTTATGACAGAATGGTATTCCTTTTTACTTAAGGCCATTGGAGAACTCATGTAGCAGGAAGTAGATATAATTTATCTTTAAAGCTACTTAAAGTAAGTTTATCTCTACTATACATTTGATAGTAAAATCTGTTTCTATTATTGAAACTTTTATTTGCACATCTAATCTTACCAACTATAGTGGTGAGAAGGATGAACATAATAGATGCCACATTGGGTAGAGCACTAGAATGAGTTTTCAGTGGGTGTTTGGAAAATGGGATCAAGAATAATATGTGTCTAAATACTTGTATTTCTCATAATTGTCACAACTTTACCCTTAATTTATTTTAAAAATGGCCTCAAAGTTTTCTGAGATAAAGCTTATATTATGAACATATCTTGAAGGAGAACCCTATTTAACATCTAAACTGAACAAAGCAGAATTATATTATGAAATCCCAAATAATTTGCCAATTTATGCTTGCCTCTGAAAGCATAGATTTTATATCCTTAAAAGACTTATAATTTAATTGTAACCTAGAAAAATGTAGGACATAAAAAAGATAAATGATAAATCAATTTATAGTAAAATATATCATTATCCATAAATGTGCTAAAATAACTAGAGCTCCAGGGTTTCAGAAGAATGAATCATCAAGTGCATGGACACTAGAGAAACTGCATTCTATATTGCAATCTAGAATTTTAGGGAGAGTACAACTCTCTTTGGTAAATGACTCATTTGAAGATCTTCTCAATTCTATTTGAGGGGGTATTCTTGTAAATTTCCCCTATTATAGTTCCAAGTTAAACCTCCCTTCTCTCCCCCTCAGGCACACAGTTTGACTTTTCTGTTAATTCCTGCTTTCACTGAGATTTTCATTGTTTCTTGATTTGAGTGCTAAGTAGAGCCAAATACCAGGTGTTTTGGAATAAAATACTGCCTTGTCATTGAAGATAGAATAGATAGCAACAAAAACAAAGGAGAAAAATCTTTTCCAAAAGGTTTTTGGTTTTGTAAAAAGTATGGATGTTTTATATTTGACATACACTGATTTATTTTTTGAAAGCAACATAAAACATTTTAATTGAAAAATATTTGCTTTCAAAGACTCTGTAGACATTAATTTTTACCTATTATGTTTCAGATGCTTTATGATAGTTTAAAAAGATTCAGCCGGAACAAGAAACTAGTGGTCCTTGGTCTCACAGAGCAAGGACACCTTGTCTGTAAAGGGGTAAAGATGAAAAAAAGGCAAATTGGCATTTTCAGTGTTTGGGAGACCATGTGAGGGGAGTCCATCCATGTTGAGGAGCAATCAGAGAAGGTCTGCAGGAAAGGTGGTATTTGGTATGTAACATGAAAAATAGTTAGAGTTTGGATAGCAGAGGTAGGGAGGAAAATTGTTCTATGAAAGGGGAGAGGCATTTCAGTGTCCAAGAGGTGAAGAAAGCACACACATAATTGAGGAACTGAAAGTTTAGAATGGCTCAAGTTTAGAGTGACTGAGAATTTGACAGAAAATGGCTGCAGAATTAACTAGAATCCATGTCATCAAGACAAACCATGTATACCTATTTGGATTTAATTTTAAAGGAAAATCACTTAAATACGGGTGTAATATGATTAGATTTGCATTTGGCAAAGATTACTCTAAATAATTAGTGTGATGGAGAGGAAATGACTTCAGGTAAAGGGAGTGGTTAGGACGCCATTGCAATAATCAACCGGAAGATGATGGACAATGCTCTGGGTTAGAGGGGTGGAAGTAAGGGTGCAGAACAGGTGGTTTTGAGAATTGGTGAAGGGTGGGGAGACGTGGTGATTGCATGTGAGTAAAGTTCAGGGAAGAATTAAAAATGACTTTCTAGCTTCTTTCTACAGCAATTGGGTTGTGTTACTGGATTAAACTTATTGAGGTATCCAGGGCATTACTCTCTTATTGTATGTACCCAACAAGAAACATCACTGTTGGGAAAGAAATCTGTCTTTGAACTCAAAGGACTTGGGTGTAAAGTTGTTGCCTCCAACATGTACCTCTGGCAAATTAATTTAAACTGTCTGAGCTGTCAGTCTTTGATAAATTGCCAATAACAATGCCTAACCCAGAGTTCTTGCAGGGATGAGAACACATGTAGAAGAGCTGGCATAGTGCCTGTCAAGCAGTAAGGCTGTCAACATTGCTGAAGTTTTCTACATATGTGTTTGTTGTCCCCACCAAAATGCAAGCTTCTTGACAGTAGAAGGAAACTGTCTACTACTCAACTTTGTAGTCCCAAATACCAGGCCAAAGTGCCAGCACACACTGGGGACTCATTAAATATTTGTTGAATGTGCAAATATGACTGTCACCACATAGACAATTTGCTTTCTCTTTTAAAACTAATTTGGCACAAACATGGTAAAGACCAGTTTCATTATTTGTGACCTCAGGTTTTGAATGCTACTGATACTTCTGTTAAACATGAAGCCTCAAGGGCCGGCCGAGTGGCTCAGTTGGTTAAGAGCTCGCTCAAGAGTTTGAGCTCCGAGCAACAGC